GGTGGGGGTTGGGGGAGAAAGGCTGGGGTGGGGCTGCCCTACCTGGACCTCCTTGGCGTGAAAGGCCAGGATCAGGCACAGGAGCAAGAAGGTGGAGATGCTGATCATGCATTTAACCAGGAACAGGTAGATGGCCCACTGTAGGGAGGGAGAGAGAAAAGGTGGGGTCCCAGGTCTCCGCCTGGATCCCTTCTCAGTTCCCATGTCCCAGTCTTCTCCCACAGACCGGTCCCTCCTGCTGTCACAATTCTGGGGAAGCCACACAACCCCCATCGGGTCCCCGAGGGCGCTCTCTTTCTCCCCAACAGGACAACCCCGTCCACATGCCAGTATCCACTCTCCTCCTTAGTCCTTCTCCCTGGACCCGTGCCCCCGAAGGGGGACCTTGAAACTCACATTCCTTCTTATTCCCCTATTCCCATTCCCCATCAAAAATAGTTCCTCAGTTGTGTGTGGGGGTGGTGTTTAGAAAAATACATCTGTGAGTGGATTGCCTGAGCCCGTGGGTTCGCGACCCGCCTGGGCAGGCGAGACCTCATCTCTACAATAAATCAAAAAATTAGCTGGGCGTGGTAGCTCGCGCCTGTAATTCCAGCTATTCGGAAGCTGAGGCGGAAGGATCGCCAGAGTCCAGCAGGTCAAGGCTGCGGTGGCCAGGAGCGGCCACTGCACTCCAGTCTGGGCGACAGAGTGAGACTCCAACTCAAAAAAAAAAAAAAAGGAAAATACATCTGTTTTAGAGAGTGCCTGCTCTCCTCCCCTTCCTACCTAGCTGACCTGACCCTAGTAATCAATTTCAGCTGCTCCCCCAGCCCCCAATTCCAGAAGAGCCTAGAAACTATCATTCAGTCCCCAAGGACTGAATCACACCCTTGCTTGCTCTCATCTAGAGGACTGAGTCCCTGAGATGCCACCCCCAGCTCTGAGAGGGCCCCCTCAGTCCTGCCCTTTAGTCCCCCCACCAACTCTTCCCTCACCCTCTCGCCTGGCTCTAAGCCTAGGGCAGATTTGGCCGGAAGCACAAGGCCTCCAGAAACCACGAAGTTTGTTGTGTGTGTGCATGTACGTTTTTCCCTTTCTTTGTGTGGCACCACTGTGGAGGAATCTAGAATTCTGGAGGGAAGGAATTAGAGCCGACTGGGACTGCTGGATTTCCTGAGAAGAGTTGGTCCCTGCCTGGGGGGGCTGTGGGGAGAGAGAGCCCCCCCGGGCTCCCATGCTGAGCCCTGCACCTGTTTCTCCTAAAGAGGCTGCCAGCTCCCCTGGCTGGGCCAGCACCCCGCCTCTGAGCAGGGGAAGAGGGCCAGTTTCCTGCCCCGAGGGCTTGCTCCCTCACCCCCCTCCCCAAACAATGGTGCTGTTGTCCCCAGCCCTCCCCCACCCCCTTCATCTTTCTATGGCTCCCAGCTTCCCTGTCTTTTTCACTGTCTCAGCTCCCACCCCAACCAGACACAACCTCCCTCCCCACACTGCAATCTGCTTCTCTGGTGGGTCTCTCTACTTTTCCAAGACCTCTTCCCCCAAATCCTGGACCTGCCTACACTCGGACCCCTACTCTGGTCTTTGAAATTTCTCATTTCTAGGGATGGTTGTTTCCGTATTTGTGTTTTGAAGGTTTTCATTTCTATTAGCCTTTCTATGTCTCTGTGCATATCACTCACTAGTGAATTTCTCAACCGCTTGAGTCTGTTTGTCTTTCTTTTCTTTTTTTTTAATTGCGACGGGGGTCTCACTAGGTTATTCAGACTGATCTCAAATCCTTGGCCTCAAGCAATCCTCCCACCTCAGCCTCCCAAAGTGCTGGGATTACAGGCATGAGCCACTGCACCCGGCCTCTCCATCTGTCTTTCTCTGAGGCTGAACCTCTCTGTCTCTTTGTCTCCAGCTCTCTCCATCTTTTTCTCTCTGTGTTCCTCTTTGTCTGTCTCTCTCTGTACCTCTCTCCATTCCTGTTGGCATGGGCTTCGGTGCCCCCACCCCCTCAGTGCCCGCCGCCCTCCACCCCACCCACTGCTTGCAGATATCTCTGTCTGGTTCCCTGTACTCCCCAGGGTTTGGCGCCCTCCTCTCCGCCAGCCCCTCCCCCTGGGGAGCAGGTGTCTGGGTCCCTGCAAAATGAGTTCATTAGACTGAGATGGCGGTGGGTAGGAGACATGGGTGTTATCACAACAATCATCAAAAGGGAGCTGAAGAGCACTTTTAGGGTCATGCATTTCAACCCTCACCCCCAATTTACAAATGGGGAAACTGAGGCTCAGAGAGCTGCAGCAGCTTCCCCAAGATCCCACTGATAGCGGCAGTAGCCTGGCAGGTGGCGGAGGGAGGGAAGAAATGAGAGGTGAGAAGGAGGAGGGAGCAGGTGGGGTAGGAAGGACCCCCTGTCCCTTCTTATCTGCCAGTCACCATGTCCCCAGGTCCCCTGCTGGGCGCAGTGCTGGAGCGTGGGAGCGGAGGGCCTGTCCCGGCCATGCTTCCTGTTGGCATGGCCTTCGGCGGCCCCACCCCCTCAGTGCCCGCTGCCCTGGCCCGGCCGCCCCGCCAGAGGAAGCCGCCTGCCCTGACCCTCCATGTGGCTCCTGATCACTTCAGAGCTGCCCATCTCCCTCAGCCCCAAACGGAGTCTCAGCATCAGGACCCCTGGAATCCTCCCTGCTTGGATCTTCAAGTTAGTGCCCCACCTCCACCAGCCAATTCCGAACCCTGGGCCCAGACAGATCTCCAACCCCTCCTTTCCTGTCCAGCAACTCTGCTCTCCCCTCAAGCCACTGATTCCGGCCCTTGTCCTCCATCTGCCCTCATCATGGCCCTGACCAGGGCTGGAATGCGACGGGAGCCTGCTGAGACCTGTCCTGACGCCACCTCGCCTCTTCTTCCCTACTCACTGCTATTCTCAAAGTCAGCCCCTCTTCCCCAAAGTCGCTCTAAGCCTCCTTCTCCTTCAGACCCAGGAGTCTCGGCCCCCAGCCCCCTCCCCGGCGGGACCCAGGAGTCCAGGCTACTACAAACCCACCTCCCCATTGGTTCTAAACAGCCTGTAGATCCTGGAGGAAACTAAACTTAACGGTGGATGGGGGTGGGGGAAGGGGCTTGTTTCCCACTTCCCACCCCCACCCCCAGCCGGGCTCTGCCCTTTGCAGTGGAGGCACTGGGTAAATGTTAGAGGTGAGATAAGGACCAAGGAGCCACCGCCTACAGAAAGAAGTTAGGCTTTTCCTCCACCCTCCTTTCACCAAACCTGGGACTGCCTGTCCCCTAATTTGCACTTGGAGGTCTCGAGTATCAGCCACCCTCTGGCCTCCAGGGGACCCCCCCCCCCCCCCCCGCCATCTCATTGCAACTCCTTCAAGGACTATGTTAAAAGAGACAGTTTTAACAGTAAGACAAAAGCTTGTGACTTCAGAGTGACAACTAAAACTTTGGGACCGCTGAACCTCTCTTGCAGAGAGGACCCCCAGCATCTAACTCCCTCAGGTCCCAGGAGTCACAGCGGAAGCCCCTCCTCCCTCAGACCCAGGCATCCAGCCCCCAGCCCCTCCTCTCTCAGACCCAGGAATCCAGACCCCAGCCCCTCCTCCCTCAGACCCAGGAGTCTGCCAGACCCTCCTCCCTCAGACTCATGAGTTCAGACTCCAGACCCCTCCTCCCTCAAACGCAGGAGTCCAAACCCCCAGCCCTTCCACCCAGGAGTCCCAGCTCCCAGTCACCCATGCCCCAGCATAAGCACTCCACTCACCGGGCACCCCCCGAACCACAGCATCTCCGCATGCAGCACCATGAGTCCGATGCCAGTTCCCGCCAGTGCCAGCGCCCAGCCCGCCAGCGACGTCTCCTGCTCCAGCAAGCGCTTTCGCCGCCGCAGGGCCCCCAGGCCAGGAACCAGCTCCCCGCCCATGGCCCCCGGGGTCTTGGGGCTCAGCCAGCTTCCTGCCCAGGGTCCCCCACCTCGCAGCACGCAAAGGGCAGCCACTGTGGCTTGCAGGTCGTCAGCCCGCTCTGCTGGCTCTGGACTTTTGCTCTGAGGCGCAGCAGAGCCCTGTGCCCTCTGGGGAGTGGTGAGGGCTGGGCAGGGCAGGGAGGGGCAGGGGAGGCCCTTGAGTAGGGGGAGGCTCCCCAGCCCCCCTTCCGAGACTAAGGAGGGGCTGGGGTGTGTCTTGGGGCAGAGCAAGGAAGAGACGTCCGTCCACGTGGATCAAGACACACACTGACACACAATGGGCTTTGTCACACAACGGTCTGCACCTTGTGATACACACCTACACTCACCACACCCGGACACCACAAGGCACCGCACAGTCAGAGACAGAGCCAAACACACCAAGACACACAACACAACCTACATAGAGTGACTCACAACTCCCGACAAGCTCTGAAACCCACAGCCACACCCAGAGACACCACACACATGGTGTGACACACACTGGCACTTAGCAAGGCAGACAGCGTCTCGTGGCACACACGGTCACCCAAACACTGTCCACACAGAAAGCACACACATTACATTCAAAATTATCAGCCGGGCTCGGTGGCTCAGCCTGTAATCCCACACTTTGGGAGGCTGAGGTGAGTGGATTGCCTGAGCTCGCGGGTTCGAGACCCTCCTGGGCAGCGAGACCTCATCTCTACAATAAATCAAAATGAGCCGGGCGTGGTAGTGCGCGCCTGTAGTTCCAGCTACTTGGAAGGCTGAGGCGGAAGGATCGCCGGAGCCCAGCAGGTCGAGGCTGCGGTGGCTGGGAGCGTGCCACTGCACTCCAGTCTGGGCAACAGAGTGAGACTCCAACTCAAAAAAAAAAAATTATCACAACAGTCACTGACACAAAGAGCCACACCCAAACACCACACATAGGGGGATTCACATCTGTGGCCACACAAACACAACATATACCAAGTGCTACACAAACACACAATACATCCCAAACTGGTGATACCCAAAGGCCGTGGCACACAATACACTTCTATAAACAATACCCTTGCAGTTTCCCAAGCATCCCACACCTGTGGAATGATACCCAATACCTGCAGACACACAACATTTCAGGACACAACTAGGACGGCCACCAATCTCCCAGCACCCAGAGGAAGGCACAGAGACACACATCATGGCGCATGGCGACTCGAACACATGTACCCACGATGATGATTCATGACACACACTGACTCACCCAGACACACGACGTACCCGATGCATATACCATTCAAATTTTTGGTCAGAGGACAACTTGAATGGAACCCACATGCAGAGACCTACAATGGACAAGGATATACAGGAAAACCCAAGCAGCCCATGCCCTATGTAAGACCTTCTAATCTATTTTGGCCACACAGGACGAAACCCAGGATGATGCCCCAGGGAAGGGGTCTGGGATTGGACCTACCTGGACCCCGATGCCCAAATGCAACACACACCGTCATCTCTGGTCCATAAGCCACACCAGAACACCATATACAATACCTATACACAGCCCGGCACTACAGACAGGTAGTGATATACAAACACACAGTGGCACAAAACACATTGATACCACATTTCCCATCACACACAACCTTTCACAAACACCACATGTCCCATAGAACAGCAGGTGTGACTCGCTGATGCCGCTAACGCTGAGGTCTGTAGCAACACACACAGCACAGGGGGACATCCTCTAGCATGATGTAATACACAGCCACACAATATACATGGAGTGATGGGCACCCATCTTGTGTGTCTTGTCTAGGAAGGAAGAGGCCCCAGCAGGGACACGCATGCTGACATGAGACACGGGGCCACATCCCTGAGTGATCCACTGTGTTACACACACAAGGCCCACAAGGAGACAAAACGCACACTGACACACAGAGCAGCAAATGCAAGATAGAATGTTACACAATGACTCCTAGAGACACACGCATTGTAGACTGTGACAGCTACACAGAGGAAACACGCGTCTGTACGCCGTACATTTGGGCACAGATCAAAGCCCTTTGACAGCGACACACAGGGGTCCACTGACATGGTGACACAGATCACCTCTCACAGCATCACACGCTGACCTGATGACACAGCCGGTGGCCTCGTGGACACCACTCTCTGAGGATCACACAGAATCCCTCTCCCTCCCGTGTCCTAGGTCATGCAGGAATGTGGACCCACAGCCACAGGAAACTGAGACACGCACAGACGTGCCTGGCAACACACCAACGCAACCACACAGGCACACCCAGAGACACCAAACCACACACACAGACACGCCCAGTGACAAAAACACAGCCATGCGGGGGCCCCGCCCACGGCACACGCATGAGACACGGTGGGAGAGGGATAGAGGCACACCCGGGCACGTCCCGACACCACATGCGTGTCCGCTTGGGGAAAGTGCAGCCGCAGGGCACTCTGGAGGCTGCAGCCTGGCGCCCCGGCCCACTGGCCACCCTTGTGGCCTGGCATGGGGTTCTCTCCTCCCTCTCTGGTTCCCTCTCTGGGTTTCTAGGTCTCACCGCCTTCTCAGTCTTTCCTGCTCTGGAAGTTTCTGGGTTTGTCTCAGTCTCTGTCTCTGTTTTTCTCTCCTTGTCTCTATCTCTCCATATCCATCTTTCTAAGTGTCTTCGTATCTCTGTCTGTTTTTCTCTGTCTCTTCCTCTCTCAGCCTCCTGCTTTCTCTGTCTCTCTTGTATCTCTGTCTTCCTCCATTTTTGTGTCTCTTTCTGCCTTCCTCTTTCATTCTCTGTCACTGTCTCTCTGCCTCTATGTCTCTGTGTTCATCGTTGTCTGTCTCTGTCTTCCTGTCTCTGTCTGTGCTCTTTTCTACCTCATTCTCTCTGTCTCTAGGGCTCTGTGGTTCTATCTCTGTCTCTTGCTGAATCAATGTCTCTCTCTGTCTCTTTTTCACTGTCTCACTCTCTCCCTGTGTCCAAGTCTTCCTCTGGGCCCCACCACCCCCGGGAATCTGTGCTTGTCTCTGCCTCGGTTTCCCTCTGCTATTCACTGGCTCAGTCATGGAAAGCCTAGTTCCTTGCAGTTTCACCCCAGCCCACTCAGGACCTGAGAAACAGAGACTGCGATCACCCAAGAGTCGGAAGCCATGAGGCAGAGACCTCCGGCTCTTGCTCCTCCATGGCATCTGTGTCCTGGTTCAGGCACTTGTGGAAAGTGGAAACAGACTGATGCAGAGGGAGAGAATCAGAGAGCCCTTGACTGGTTCAGCCGGGGTGGGGTTATACTAACCCCTTTCCAGTTTGCCCAAGAATACTCACTGGCAGTGCTTGTGGGCTGTGGTATTTACCCTGAGATAACTCACGGATCACAGTCCTAAGCTTACCTCCAAAGTTTGCCATGAAAGATCTCGCTTTTATTATTATTTTTGCATTGCTCTATATATCGATAGTCTTTGGAAACAAATGACATCATATTACTATTTTTTTGAATCTGAGTCTCACTCTATCACCCAGGCTGGAGTACAGTGGCACGCTCACAGCCACCGCAGCCTCGACCTGCTGGGCTCAGGCGATCCTTCTGCCTCAGCCTTCCAAGTAGCTGGAAACACAGGCACGCCGCACTACCCCTAGCTAAGTTTTTTATTTATTGTAGAGACGAGGTCTCGCCAAGTCGTCCAGGCTGATCTCAAACCCCTGGGCTCAGGCAATCCTTTTACCTCTGTCTTCCAAAGTGCTGGGACTAAAGGTGTGAGCCACTGTGCCTGGCTTAATATTATTCTATTTTTAGTAGTGGTATTTCCATTCACAAAATATAGTCATTCTCTCTCTCTCTCTCTCTCTCTCTCTCTAAATTCTTCTTATGATTAGAGACAAGTTCTGTTTAGAAATAACTCCAAGGCTGGGTGCGGTGGCTCACGCCTGTAATCCCAGCACTTTGGGAGGTGGAGGCAAGAGGACTGCCTGAGCCCAGGGGTTCCAGACCAGACCGGGCAACTTGGTGAGACCAAGTTTCTAAAATAAGTCAAAAAATTAGTCAGGGGTGGTGTGACACACCTGTGGTTCCAATAACTTGGAAGGCTGAGGTGGAAGGATTGCCTGAGCCCAGCAGGTCGAGGCTGTGGTGGCCTTGAGTGTGACACTGCACTCCAGCCTGGGCAACAGAGTGAGACTCCGACTCAAAAAAAAAAAAAAAAAAA